TTTTTTTTTTTTTTGTTTAGAACAATCATGTTTTACAGGTAAAGTGGTTAAGTAAATTTTATGTTGTTTGCAAAGAAGCATTTGTTAATTAGTTAAATTAAATGTTTCTTTAGTTTTCGCTTCCTATCCAACAAAAAAAAAAAAACCTTACGTAAAAGTACAGAAAACATAAACTCCTTACGTTTCTGCTGAAAATTGGCCCATTATCTTTAGAAAAAAATACCGATTTTTCAAAATGTCTTCCTCAAAAGTACCTTACGTTCTATTTGTTTTAAAAAATTAACTATTTCACACTTGAAAAATTTATCATGAACTTAAGAACAAATAAGGGATGGCATCGAGAGAGCGAAAATTGAAAGGGACTCGTGCGCACTCGGTAATGTGGAGCCGAAAACTGACGAAGATACCCGAGCGCGCCCTCAAACTTTTTAAAAGTGGGGGTTCCTGTTATATTATATTATTTATTAATACATGTACGGTTTTCATAAGTGCTAGTGCTGGTATTATTTAACTCTATAGGTCACGGAAAAAAATAAAGATAAATATTTGTTTACCAATCTTTATAAGTCAGTTTAACAGTATTCAAACAAAAAAAAAAAAAAATACCCACAATGAAACTAAATTAATATCGGTAGGATCTCCTCACTGTCTTGTAGGGTTAAAAAAAAATGTGGTACTTAATTAATTATTATAGTAAAATAAATAATTAAAATTTACAATGTTGTTAAAATAAAATGATTAGTAACGGAAAACGCATAAATCGAATAGATTAGAAGAAAAAAAGTTACAGTAAGTAATTTTTTTTAAATAATATATTACACCATCTATGGTTTTTACTTTCAGTTCCTAAAAGCTAAATATTTTAATAGTAATTTTACTTTATTAATATGTAGGATCAGATCTTTTGAGCCTAAAACATCAGATGATGAAAAGACCTATTTTTACCCAAAGTGGGGTGGTAAGATTTTTTTTATATTAATGAATATTTATTTCCATTACACAATACTAACTGTTTTGTTAGTTCCATAAAGTATTGATTTAATTTTTAGGAGATGCAGAATTTAGAGAATTTATATAACCAATAAAAGCAACCTTTTAGACAAATTTGATTCTAGACAAATTTTCCCACACAATAATTTCTTTCGATGTATGGGCCGATTCGAACATTGATTTCGAACGGAAAAAATTTTTATCCAATTTCGTATTTTCTTAAGGTGGTCGCTACAAATACACCATATGTTTAGAAACTTCCTTGTTGTCTTAAACTGTAGGGATTAAGATCAACCCTTAATACAGTCAGGGTAACATTACGAGATTAGAATGTACCTAAATACAACACAAGTAAAATGCTAAAAGAAAAATTTGTTTTTGTTTTTTTAGCGTTTTAGAGTTTATTGATCGATAATTCGATTTGGTCCGACCACATGGCAACATCTATCAGTCGGTGTCATTAATAAGAAGTACGTAATATTTACATGGGTAAATTTTTTTTCTAACAATCTCAATATTATAAAATTCTAACATAGTATAATGATACAATATAGTTTAATGATATAATAAATTATAACATAATGGTAATTTAATATAATATGTATTAAATACTGTAAAAAACAAAACAACCATAATAGCTTAAGAAAACATGAGTAATAAAAGAATTTACCCCAGGAGGTATGTTTTCGTATACGTTCAAGAAACTCTATACAAACATGGTAACTAAATGTCAGCCGATGAATAATGATTATATATATGTCAATTATAATACATATTTTTTTTTTATTGAATATTAATACATTCTGCCATATTAAAAGGCATTAATATTAAGGCTACATGAATCTTTCACACAATATGCACATACAAATAATAACTAAGATTTCAATAATAAAGAAAAAGAAATATATTTTCGACTTGAAAATTGATTTGTTAACAAAATTGTTTTTACTGTCGTTTTTTATTGCCTAAGCCACTTATTTTATAATATTTGTTCATGTTTTATTATTTTCTGACTATTCAGCTTTAATAAAAGAAGAACTATGAGGATAATTATCCAAATAATGAATCTGAGTGACCAACAAAGTAACTAAAGTCAAAGTCGTCAATCCGCAATGATTGGACGCCATGTTGGGGCTGTGCGTTCACTTTTTTTGTCGGAACATTGGCTTTTTTTGAATAAATTGTTACAAGGGTCACAACGATATGCAATTTATAGGGATGTGGAGGGGGAGGAAGCACGGTAGGGGGGTCTGGCCACTCGTGTAGATTATTTATCAACTATTTATATAATTTTTTGTTCTCAATTTCTGGAGAACATGGGAACGAACGCCAATATATGTGACCAATATTTTTCGATGTGGTATCACCTAAAAAAAAGTTTGGTTGAAATCATTAACCAATTCCAATTTATTCTTCTTAAATATTGCCCCTTCATATCTACAAAAATTCATAAGAAAATAAAAAATCTGGTGCGCACAACACACAACATTCACTTATCGCTCATGAATAAAAAACTTTTGAATTGCATTTTCACCGAGCTAAAGCTAAAGAATTACACCTAACAAATCATAAATACCATTAAAATAACAAAAGCCCTATTTATTATATCACCGATTGATTATGGATTGTACGATCCGTTGATTATGGATTGCAAGATCCATTGATTATGGATTGTACGAATATAAGTTATTACACTGTTATTTTCCATTGAAAAGTTTACTAAAACGAAATTAAGAGATTTGCATTGTCTGTCATAGTCAGGTTAAAAGTTCGTCACACTAATTATAAGTGGATACTGTTGGAATATCACAAAAGCAAATTTCATCAAACTATTCACTAATTTAATTTTCTATAAGGTTTTCTAGAACGTTGATACCTAATTATTTAAGTATAATATCAGATCTAGAATTATTAAACTACACTAAATGTATTTAAGGTTATAAACATATGATGGGTGATAAATATTCAGGACGCAGTCTTTTTTAAAAAGAAATTTATTATTTTATTATAATTTTTTATTTATTTATATATATATTATTTTAAAAAAGACTGCGTCCTGAATATTTATCACCCATGATATGTAGAACAGTCGACTAACTTCCTTCAAGAATTTATAAACATATGATTTATACATCCATGAAATGATTTTATATTTTACTTTTTCTTTCACAAAAGTACAATAAAATAGTTTTTTAAACAATGTCATCGTGTTGATTAGGTGGATATTAAATACTTTTTTTAACCTTAAAATTATCTTTAAAGTTTACATTTAGTTAGCAAATTTCATTTAATTTTCTTGAAAACATGTGATTTACGTTAAATATTATTAGTTATCAAAAATTATTATTTATATTTGTGTTGCCACTCTCAGTTACTTTAAACAACTTTCAATATTAAATATTGTTTTTAATAAATTTCTCCGCTTTCCAACGATATATTATATGTATACATTCTGACTAGTATTTCCGTAGGTTCATTTTCGACCTAGATAAGCGTTTTTTTATTTTTCCCCTTTATTCAATTATCAATTATTCCAAAGTTATATTTAGCATTTTTTTGTAACACTTGAGAGATAGTTAATTATTTAAACGAAATTATATTAAAGGTACTATAGAGGAAGGCGCATCTGAACATTGGACATTTCAGCACTGCAAAGTGACATCAACGGGGATAAAACCTTAATGATATTAAAGACCATTTAATTATAAAACGGTAGACCGAGTTTAGTCAAAATCGTTAGAGCCCTTATTAAGAAAATTGTAAAAACGTGTTTCAGCGTTGATATAAAGTGACACTTCCGATTAGCCGATTTTAAAGAAAAAGTTGATACATATACATATACATCTATCTTAAATAAGTAATATCAGTTTCGTTTTTGAGCTAGACTGACACACACACACACACACACACACACACACAAGCACGCACGGACACACAGAAACACACTGACAATTTTTCAGGACTTGGTTATTTGGACTCAGAGTACCAGAAAACGTGTATTTCCGTTGAAAAATAAAAATTCAAAAATTTTCACAATCGCAATACTTAACCTTACTATATATTATATATATAATATAATATATTATACATGAAAGTAAAATGCACAGTGAACTTTCAAAAAACATTTAATAAAATATAAACGTCTTAAATAGGTATTTATTTATTTATCAATATTTGCTCTACAAATAGAATGAAACGGCCTCCTATTGTAGATTTCAACTACCTAAACAAAAAAAATAATACTTAAGAAATTCCATTTAATCAGAAATATTGAGACTTAAATAGTTAATGAGAACAATATTGGCATTGTGATTAAAATTAATTTGCTTTTTAAGATTTCCTAATTTAATTGAACGATCTATGAAGATCTTAATTTTCAAACGTGATCTTATCCGTCGATGAAACCTTGTTGTACCATCCCCCTCCACCTACAAGTATCGGACATGTTAATTGTAGGAACACACTGATCAGTTCAAAGGACACCACGAGGTAAGAATGTGCTTCCTAAAATCACACACTATTTTTTATATATGAACAAATATTAATACAATATGTGAATAAATAAAAACAATATTTGATTAAATATTATACAATAAGTTATAAGTGGGAGAGAGAGAATTTTTTTTTCTCAGTGGTTCAGTGTTATAAATAGAATACCAAAATATGTACAAACATTCAAATAGGTTCCATCTTTGCTATCAATGGTAAAATTAATGTCTGATTTCAATGATTTTTTTCTTATGGTAGTGAATTTAGAAAACTTAATAACTTAATCAAATTGCCATAAGTATGATGTATCAACTATTAATTGTATACTGTTTGAGTTATGTGCGAATAAAGTTTTCTTTTTTACATAATATTTTGTGTTTTTTTTCTGAGGTAAGGGCTTATTCAAGAAGATCATTTGGTTTGAAAGTTCAATATTTGGATTTATGTTTTACAGCAATGCCTAATAATAAATATTTTTACTTTTCCAGATAATACATTTTTTTTTCACAAAAGCAAAAACCATGGAACCTGACTATCTTATCACTGCTGCGCATCTTGTCGGGTTAGTTCTTGGAGACCAAACTCTTGAGGTACGCTTGAGCGCGATCAATGATATCAGAGCAGTTGAAGATCACTTTCCCAGTTATTATGGTCCTGCGGATCTTACCAAAATGCTGATAAAAATGGAGCGCTATCAAAAGGTTAATTTTTTAGTAAATATATTTAGTTTTTTTTTCATGTATACAATAGTATAATAAATAAATAAATAGTAGAATAAATAAATGATTAATGCAAGAAATGTTAAAATATAAATAGCAACAACAACGTGATGTTTTGTTCTGTAACGACGTTATATTTTAAATCCTAATTGTAGTTATAGACTGATTTATGTCTTGTTTACAAGGAATGTTTAGTGTTAACATTAAAGGTAATGGGGATCACTAATGTTTTGTATTAATATCTGCCTAATGCATTAGGTTTGGATTTGAAGAATACTCCCTTTGTTCCATTAAAGGAAAACAAAGTTCCCAGCAGTTCGTATGTTAAAAATCAGGCATTGAAATTATCATAGATTTTTTTTTAATTAAATAGTTTTATATTAACACGGAAAAAAGCACATTGTTAAGAATTTCAGTCAAGATATTTTCCTCAGGTCTATCTTTCGGAATTCCAGACTGAAACTGACAGTTCCTGTTTGGAATTCCGAAAATATCTTTTCTGGAATTTCCAAATGCATTGATATTGCAGCTTCCATTACCAACCAGATATCAATTCTAATTGATGGCAATAGTTACTAATGCAAATTACGATTTCTAAAAAAAAAATAAAATAATATTTAAAAAAATCAAGGTGTATGCTTTAGACTACACGATAGAAGTGGAAACATCAAAAAGGCGAGATTAAGAGTATAAAATATAAATTATAAATAATAGCTCATTACAAAGAGGACGAAATGCTGAAAATTTTCCTTACTTACAGTATGCAGTTTCTGAGATATTTTAATCCATATCTCCCATAAAATTCGATACATTTTTTTTTTTCCTTTTCGCCTCTCTAACATGGTGTCGCGTTAAGATACAATTTTCAAGTCTGTTATAAAGAGGATTAAATGCTGAACGATTTCCTCACTTACAATATGCAGGTCCGAATTTAAGTTTCTGAAATATTTTAATTCATATGTAAAAACGCTTCAATTAGTCCACTCCAGCCGACTTTACTCGACTTACTAAATAACACTCCACAAAAAATTTCCCTATCAATTTACCAAGATGTTTATATACATCTTGGTAGTGAGTACAGATATGGAAGTACATTCTCTTAGAGAGAATAGAATTTCCCAATCTCTTTAGAATTTTACTTTCCAACCTATACTAGATAAGGAAAGTATTGCAATCGGGTCAAATTTCTGACATGCAGTTTTCGGCGAATCTATACGTTTCACAGCCCCATGAGTCCGAAAAACACATTTTTAGCCATTGGTCTGTCTTTCTGTCTGTGCCAAGATTTTCTCAGGAACAACTGAACCGATTTTGTTGCTTCTTTTTTTATTTTGTAGGGTCTTGACTACTGATGCCTGTGACAGAAATTCGTTGTTCCATGCGTAATAGCTTGCGCGCAATAAATGAAAAACATGTTTTCTATAGACTGTAGCTCGAAAACGGTTCTAACGATTTTGATGAAACTTTTCTATGATGTTCTAATCATTGTCCTTTCAATATTCGTATATAGACTAAATTCCCGAAAAAAATCGGGAAAAAAAGTTATAAAGAAAAGAAAAACGTTATGGGGTCTAACTCCCTAAGTATATATTATACGGTAAAATTTATAATAAAACTTTTGAAAAGTAATTAAATTACCTAAAAAATCATATAGAAATCGTTCGTTTTGAACACTTATTAACGAAGTTCCAGCTATTCAAAATCCAACGTAAGACTACGGTTTCGTATCCTGGTGTCAGAAAGGGTTGAATGAGAAAATAAAGATGACTAAGTGAAAGTAAGAAAATCTGTTGTCAGCATTATACAAGCTCTTCACTATTTCCTATACTTTTAACATAAATTATTGTTTGACAATTCTAAGCTATGGCAAAATGTTTTGATCAGCAATATTAGGAAGTATTGAAATTTTTACACTGATCTACCTGAAGTTTATCAAATTATTGCTTTAGTTTATCAAATAAATCGTACTGAAATCTTTTGTTTGATCAATTTTCAAGAAAATAAATTTAGTTCAATTCTTTTTTGTTTACTTCATGAACATATGTAAAGATATAAAAACTTTTTTGAAATAGGTAGGAAAGTTGTGTTAATGAACACACCAAATTTTTTTTCTTAATTCAAATAGTTTTTATTTGAATTTATGTTCAATTTATGTCAAATTTATTTTCCATTATGTCTAAGAATTTCGGGTATTATTATCATTAATATTATTTCTCTTGTTATTTTTTATATACTACTAATAATGTTGCCAAAATAAAATTTCAATATTGTAATAATATTAGCATTTGCACTATATATTAGCATGAACTCGTTATCATTTGGTTTTGGACACTATATTTTTCCCTCTCCTTCTCTCTAACAAGGTGTTGGTTCAAGAGACAATTTTGAATAACAGCTCATTAAAAAGAAGAAATGCTGCTTAACATTTCCCTCGCTTACTGTATACAGTCCCGACTTTTAGTATCTGAAATATTTTAATCCGTATGTTCAACTATAAGTATCTACTAACCGTATGTTTCGTTATCATTTGGTTTAGATTTTTTCCTTGTCGCCTCCGTGACAGTTACAGTTCGCCGTGTTAAGATACAATTTTGAATTATAGCCTATTACTGAGAGGATGAAATGTTGAACAATTTCTTTACTAACAATATGCAGGTCAGAATTTTTAGTTTTTGAGATATTTTAACCATAAGAAAAAACACTTTAATAAGTGGACTCCAGCCGGTAATACCGAGTGAAATCTGACGGCTCAATCTAATCTACTCTCCCCAAAAATGTGGAAAACGCGCCAAAAGAAGTTTTCGCTTAAAAAAAATAAAATAAAACCTACCAATTGCTAGACTTGTATTCATAAAAACGTAATTACTAGCATTAGGGACCTTCAGTAGGTCGCTTAGTACCATAAGAATGATTTCCCATAGATCAGATATGTAAAAACACTAGTCCATTGCCATTTTAGATGATAAAATTCTTAACAAATATTTTTTTAGATATTTTTTAATTAATAAAAAGTGTATTTTATTAATTAATTTAATATCATACGTCCAAGGTCACAAGTATTTGAAGCTTTTTAATAATTTATTATACTTATTTTATCTGAAAACACATGTACTCTGGTGTGACAGAATATATAATTAAATATTTTTGTTTGCGAAAATAGAGCTTGATCATTATTAAGCGCCCCTGAAGATTGTCCATCGCCCCCTCCCACAGGAAGGCCGGCACAGGGTGAATCCTTTACTTACTTGGTAACGAAGCTCAACTTAAATATTATCGAATTGAAACTCATTAAACATGAAAGTTTTTACAAAAGTGAGGTATCTGTCGTCTACGTGAGAGGGTGATGAAAAAAATCTCAAACAGTCCACGACTTTATGACAACTAGTGCTGCCCAAACACGAGTCTGAGACGAGTCTTGGTCTTGCAAACTCAGTCTTGGTCATGGTCTTGATCTTGCGCATGAGTCTCGCAACAGTCTTGCAGTTATTAGGTTATTACTGTTGACATATTACGGTGATTTTTTAGATAGGAGAAACCTAACTAAGCTTAAATGAAAAATTAGAGGAGTTAAATTGCAAAAGTATATTGGTTATACCAATTATTTATATATAGTAACTAAAATTGTCAAGTATTAGTAACTATTTTGCCTTAATTTTTATTCAAAAAAATCGATTTTTTTTACCAGTCCTGGTCTTGGTCTTGCAACAGTTAGGAGGCCTTGGTCTTGGTCTTGTCAAAGTGCAAGACCAAGACCGATTTTGGGCAACACTAATGGCAACTGAAAGTAACGATATTAGCGTTTTAAATCTCCCTCAAATCCCCTTTAAATGTTTTTTTTTTTTAAATACTGAATATATTTGCATTTAAAGAAAATCTATGAATATACTCTCAATGCTGGACCTTGGCCAACGCTTCTGTTCGGTTCGCTACATCTTATAGGCCTCTTGTGTGTGTGTGTGTATACCTCTCTATATGTAATATATATATATTACTCCATATATACAAATATTTTTGTGTGTGTATGTGTATATATATATATATATATATATATATATATATATATATATATATACAAACATAATTATTTAATTGGGAATGAGGTCGCTTAAAATTATTCAATAAACAACTAAATGTCCATTGCTCCTACTGTTTATTCGACGTTTCCATAAGGTTTTTTTTTTTTTTTTTTTTTAGTTAACAGTGGGATCCTCTTAAAAGTTTTTATTTTTTTATTCTACGCTAATTTCGCTATAAAATGCCCGATAACTTGATAACTTATACTTATTTTTTTAATGTTGGGATCCCTGTATAGCAGTCAATCATTATATATCATTTGAACAACTGAAAATATAAGTTTAGAACCATGGTATAAGAATTAGGTAAGTCTAAATTTTATCCTCAATGTATTTTTTGTATGTGGACAATACTGTTATTTGCATAGGTAGAAATTGAACCTACTGTTTTTTAAGGGTCTCAGAACATCATTTTAAAACGTTTCGGATGAATGAGTTTTGTAAATTAAAAGCTCCCATTTCAAAACTTTTGAAACAATTCAACTAGAATAATGGCTTCCATTCCAGTGACGCGACTTGAAAAGAAGCGAAGGGACCTCCTGGAGCCAAGCTTTGAAGTATCTAGTAAACTATGAAGCAATTTTTAGTTGCCCGTGTTGCCCAACACGAGACTGAGACGAGTCTTGCTCTTGCAAACTCAGTCTTGGTCATGGTCTTGGTCTTGCGCATGAGTCTCGCAACAGTCTTGCAGTTATTAGGTTATTACTGTAGATATATTACGGTGATTTTTTAGATAGAAGAAACCTAACTAAGCTTAAAGGAAAAATTAGAGGAGTTAAATTGCAAAAGTATATTGGTTATACCAATTATTTATATATAGTAACTAAAATTGTCAAGTATTAGTAACTATTTTGTCTTAATTTTTATTTTAAAAAATCGATTTTTTTTACCAGTCCTGGTCTTGGTCTTGCAACAGTTAGGCGGCCTTGGTCTTGGTCTTGCAACAGTTAGGAGGCCTTGGTCTTGGTCTTGCAAAGTGCCAAGACCGATTTTGGGCAACACTAATGGCAACTGAAAGTAACAATATTAGCGTTGCTAAATCTCCCTCAAATCAACTTTAAATGTCTTTTTTTTTTAAATACTGAATATATATATATACGTATAGCAGTCAATCATTATATATCATTTGAACAGTGAAATTATAAGTTTAGAACCATCGTATAAGAATTAGGTAAGTCTAAATTTTATCCTCAATGTATTTTTTGTGTGTGGACAATATTGTTATTTGCATAGGAAAAAAATTGAACCTACTGTTTTTTAAGGGTTTCAGAACATCATTTTAAAACGTTTCGGATGAATGAGTATTGTAAATTAAAAGCTCCCATTTCAAAACTTTTGAAACAATTCCACTAGAATAATGGCCTCCATTCCAGTGACGCGACTTGTCATATCGTCTCTTTAAATATTTTTCAAAACTTAAGAGATAACATGTATGTGAAAGTGCCTATTGCTACTCTAAGTAGTTTATTAAGTGAAAGTTGTGTGATATATGCACCGCACCATATTTCTTGTTTTAAATTTAGTTCTTAATCTACTTTCATGAATATATTTGCATTAATTTATTTATTTATTTTACAAATTATTACAGATTCCTTATTGTTTTTGATTGGCATTTTAAATTATTTTTCTTAGGCACCTAAATCGATCAGAAACAAAAAACTTGTCGTCCTGGGGGAATCTTATGGCCCAGTCTTCGAGGAGTATATGATATCCCTCCCACACCACTTCAAGCACAGCGCTCTGAGGCAGATATGTGCTATAATACATAGGATTTGCTCGGTTCATGAATATCACCGCATAGAGCAATATATAATAATTACAAATTTACTAGGAATTTTATAAAAATTAAACTCTATTTTTGTAAATATTGTTAAAAAATAAGATAAAATTTAAATATTGTAAATGATAAAGTGTACTGTATGAACAAATGATAAATGTATATATTTGATTATATTATCAACATGTAAGCTAAATCATTATTTGTATGTGCATCATTTCTAAAATTTCGTTAACATTTGTTTCAATGAGTAATCAGTAATAAGAGTAGTAATTTGTAACTATACGACCTTTTAAAATTACGCGGAGTGTTAATTTCTCACTCCTCAGTGTTTTCACAAAATACTAATAGTTCGACATCCCGTGCAAAGAAGTTAAGATCATCTGAAGAAAATTTTTGTATTTTTTTTTTCAAATATTTATAACTCAATCAAATATTTATGGGTGATAAATATTCAGGATGCAGTAATTTTAAATAAAAAAAAAATTAATTTTTATTTATGCCAACGATGTTGGTCATCTTCAGGGCTGAAGTGTTTTAAAAATAGAATCAGAGATATAATAAATAATATTATACCACCGATAAAGGTAAATAATAAACTATAGGGATTGATGGTACATGAATCTTGACTAATATTGCAATACACATATTAAAAATGAAATATGTAAATAGTTACACAAACTAAAAATTAAAAAATTATGTATATGACCCATTTATACAAATTTGTAATATTTTCTCTTACTAATTACTCTTACTATAGTATTGTATCTCTGATTGTATTATAAAAATTTTCAGCCCTGAAAATGACCCACATATTCGGGTTGAAACGTTGGCATAAATAAAAAATTAGAAAAAAAAAGACTGCGTCCTGAATATTTATCACCCATGATATGTAGAACAGTCGACTAACTTTCCTCTATAAAATTTATATTTATAAAATGGGAGTATGTCAGGCGGATCGTGTTACCTGTAAAACTTGTGGCCGATTAAAAGAATATTTGGCAAGGAAGAACGAAACGGGGAAATAACTTGCGAAAAGTGCCGAGAAAGCTTTTCCTAACTTGGACGTATAGGTTCAGTTGTATAGTTTCAAATATGTAAAAAGCAAAATTGCTAATAGTCTTGATAATGGTCTTGATACTTAATCCCTAGAATTTTTTAAATAATTATGCGAAACAAAGCGAAAAGAGAAATTCTGTTCTGCTTTTGGTCTAACGGCAACACCATTCCAAGATCATCTTTTCTGTTTCATTGCAGATCTATCCCACTCCCTGCTTTGTCATAATGTCACATAAACATATTTAATATAATTATAATATATTATATAACTTAATATAACATAATTACTTTATCAAAAGCGTTGGAACATTTGTTGTTGTTTTTTTTTTATGTTATAATCGAATATGCCAATTTGTACATTGAGTAAAGTATTATAGTAATTTGTTTGTAAATACTTTTTTATTAATTCTGTTCCTATAGCTGAATAACCGTCTAAACATATTGTTTCTGGACAACGGCTAATCTCAAATAAATACTTGAAAAATCAAAAACAAATTAGGTCATATGTAACGGAACCGAACATACGACTATTTACTCAGATACCAGATTAAAATAATGTAGCAAAAAAACAATAACATATTAAATGTTATCATCAGTGACAGGTCGTTTCAACATTCTAAAATAAAATAATTAGAAAAAAAATAATTTCTCCATCTTCAAATTGATTGCTCTCCCCCCCCCATTTCAAAATAATATACCCCCTTTTGACAATGCTCTCGCAATTATTTCAGATGAAATTCTCATTTAAAAGAAAAAATATTTTAAAATAAAACAATAATGAATTCCTGGAATGGGCATACGCAGAGGAAGGCAGAGTGGAGCCTTGCCTCCTCTATGTATTACTGATGTTACTTGTTGATTGTAATTGCCTAATGTATTGTGCCTTTAATATTCTCGAGAAACAAACCAATATTATATCTACTATAGAGCGGACTAACGAGTGTGCACAGCACAGCGCGTTGCCCGTCAACCTGATAATCGAAGTAGGAGACAATAAAATAATTATGAGTTCTTTTAGCTCTAACATTAATCCCCCGACCTCACCCCTTGGCCCGCGAAACCCCCGTGTAACCTAAATGGCGAGGTAGGAGAGAACAAAAAAAAATTAACTTTTTATTATACTTTGGAAAGCTATACTCAAATATACAATTCTAAAAGAAAAAACAACGCTGTTTAGAACAGACGATTAAAATATTTAAGCACCGTGCTATATCTGAAAATAGTCTCAGTTTGACTTAACTGCAATACCTGCAAGACTTGCAGGGTCTGAGCAAGATTGGAGGGTCTGGTATTGGTGATGCAATTGGTTTTGCAAAAATGCAAAACCAAGACCAAGCCTGCAACACCGAGAGCAATTTTGGGCAACACTACTTATTTTCATGTAAACAAGTATCGTAGCTTTAGTTATATTTTTTTCCCCATTTTATTTTTCTTATTTTAAGTTGTTTTCTTCAATTTTTATGAAAAAAAAAGTATAGCATACATAAAATGTATGCATAACATTCATAAGTATTATATGCGAATTCGCATGATGTATGTAAACTTTTGCAAATAAACTCCTCCTGCATAGGGTTACTATGCAAGAGAAAAAAAAAAAAAAATATATATATATTATATATATATATATATATTATACTTATGTATATTCAAATAGTACTGTATATATAAGTTTTACTGATTATTCGTGGAGATTAACTAGTATGCTGTACTTTTAGAACCCCAATATAATTGGGTATCATTCTTTTAAATGAAAATTAAGTGTTTCTCTCACATGTGTTTCGTTTTTAAAAGGAAATTCTATTATTTTTATATAAAAATATTTACTATTAAATCAAATATAATAATAATATTCTCAGGAAAACATTTGCATTATTTCTTGTTTCAATGTTAAAAACATTTTTGTACTAAAATGTTTTTGTGGAAGTATTGTAGCCCTTTGACATTAATCTATTATTTATTAAATTAAAAAAATAAACACGGATCCAAATGATAATAAAGTTGCCTATCATGAAATAAAATCGATTAAAATCTTTTCGTCATTCTTTTTAATAACTCTAGTGATTCCTGATTAGTGGTGTTTAAATATTATAATACATGTAAAAAACAAAAAATGGATTTATTTAAAAATTATACAATCAGCTGGATCATGTGTGAACATTGATAAAAGTGAGGTTAATTTTTCTTTGAAAATCTTTTTGACAAAATCTTAGAGTAAATTAACAGTGAAAACTTTTCTTTTTGTTGCATTCTGTTGTTGAAACCAATTAGCTCTAAGAAATAGGAACTCCACACCTCGGTGTAGCGGTTTCACCGCAAACGATGTCTGAGACGTCGATATCTGCCAGTTCTTCAGAAAATGTGGACGCTTTAAACTCAAACTAAACTACTGAAAATAATTGGGAACTCGTTACAGGAAGAAAACGCTCAATGGACAATAACAGAGACCCAAGAAAAGCTAAAAAGGTAAGTGAAGTTACAACAGTAACCACAAATAGTTTTGAAGTATTAACTAACATTAGTGACGAGTCTGATGCTACAACTAAGCAACCAGTTTCTGTAAAACCGCCCCTTATCCACCTGAATGATGTACAGAACTACACCGAACTTTTTCACATTTCTCCAAAATGTAGGAGGTTTGAACAACTTTAACCTAAAATCCACATCAAGAGGAGTAACCGTATATCCTGAAAACTCTGACACATATAGACGTATAGTAGCTAACTTAAGACAGGTAGGTGCCGATTTCCATACCTATCAGTTAATAGAAGATAGAAATCCAAGAATCGTATTAAAAAACTTACACCATGCTACTCCAATCGAAACCATAAAATACGAATTAAAATGCCTAGTCTATGATGCCACAAGTATTGTGAACGTTATTTCCAGATATAAAAATCCACTTCCCATGTTCTTTATCGATATCTCTAAAGCCACATTTAATGAAAAGATTTTTGATATCAAATTTTTATACTATACTAGAGTGAAAATCGAAGAGCCAAGAAAGAAAAGAATGATACCACAGTGCAGCCGTTGTCAGCAGTATCGCCACAGGAAGGCTTACTGCAATCACTCCCCGAAGTGCGTGAGATGTGGCCAAGGACATGATAGCACCGTCTGCACAAAGACAAGAGAGACCGCAGCAACATGCGCGAATTGTAGCGGATCCCATCCAGCAAATTATAGAGGTTGTGCAACTCTAAAACAACTGAGGGAAGTACGCAATCTCCGTAAAAATATACAAAGTCCCCAAAAAGCACAAACTAGCGCACCCCCAGGTATAGACGAGTTTCCTTCTCTTCCGCAAAGTCAGCATACCGCAAATTCAGGCTCTTCAAAACCCGATTCCCAATATCTAGGACCAAACCTGCGAACTTCTCCTACAAAAGTCTCAGAAAATCACCTTCACCAGCCAAAGCATCCAGAAATGAAAAAGTGCATTACTCAACCGCCACCACCGACTTACAATCACCCGGCTTCAGCTCACCTCTTCAACTTGGTAAGTGGATTGAATAACCTCATCCAGCCTCTTTTCAGCCTTCTCCAAGAACTGTCTCACGTTGCACAAGCCTTATCCTCCAGTTATGGCTACTAATCGGCTGACAGTGGGCTCCATGTCCGTTCTTCTCTGGAACGCAAATGGTATAAACCAACACAGGACTGAACTTGACATGTACATACATGAAACTGACGTTGCTCTCATCACTGAAACACACTTGACTCCACATTCTAAATTTTACATTCCAGGCTACAAAATATATAGAACTGACCACCCTGATAAGACGGCACATGGCGGTATGGCAATACTGATTAAGCAATCACTAAAACACAACCTTTTACAATTACCCATTACACCTGACATACAATCCACAGCAATTACACTGTATACCCAGCACCATACCATTACCTTCGCTGCAGAGTACTGCCCTCCGAGATACGTGCTAACATCTGCAATGTTTTACAATTTGTTCCAACATCTCGGTCGGTGTTTTATTGCAGGTGGTGATTA